TTTTAAAGGTATGGCCAATCAGGTGGATAAAGAAAATCTCATTGTTTTAATTTGAATTTCTCTGATCATAGGGTTGAAACTTTCAGTTTTCTTTTGTTCATATACCTTATGTATTCTTCTACTGATTTTTTTCTATATTTCTTACTAATTTATAAATTTGAAATCTTTTATAGTAATTTGTGTTTTCTCTCTTTTTTTCTTTTTTTGAGATAGAGTTTCCCTCTTGTTGCCCAGGCTGGAGTAGAGTGCAGTGGCATGATCTTGGCTCACCGGAAACCTCCGCCTTCCGGGTTCAAGCAGTTCTCCTGCCTCAGCCTCCCGAGTAGCTGGGATTACAGGCATGCACCAACACACCTGGCTAATTTTGTGTTTTTAATATAGACAGGGTTTCTCCACATTGATCAGGCCGAGCTCGAACTCCTGACCTCAGGTGATCCACCAGCCTCCCAAGGTGCTGGGATTACAGGCATGAGCCACAGGCATGCTTACTGGCCATGTTAGTGTCATCTTTTGTGAAATGACTGCTCAGATCTTTTCCCCCATTTTTCTATTAGGTTGTCTTGCTCATATTGATTTTAGAAGTATTTTATATATTCTGGTTATAGTTGCTTTAAAAGTTTGATATGTTGTCAATATTTTCTTCTATCTGATTTGCTTTTTTTTTCTTTTTGCATAGCTGTCTCTTTTGATTAATTGACGTTCTTAAGATGGTACAGTTTATTTCAGTCTTCTTTATGGTTAATGCTTTTGTGTCTTGCTTTAAAAAAACCTTTGCTTGTGAAAATAGTTACCTGTTATCTTCTAGAAGTTCTGTTGTTTTTACTCATCACATTTTAACCTACAATTCATCTGGAATTGATTTTCACATATTGTGTGAGATTGAAGTCAAGTTTTTCCCATATTTAATCCCTTTTAATCAGCACAGCTTATTGAGACTGTACTTCCCTCACTCCTCAGCTGTGAAATTTTTATTTATTTATTTATTTTGAGACGGAGTCTTCCTCTGTTGCCCAGGCTGGAGTGCAGTGGCACGATCTTGGCTCACAGCAAACTCCACCTCCTGGGTTCAAGCAATTATTCTGTCTCAGCCTCCCGAGTAGCTGGAACTACAGGTGCCTGCTACCACGCCCAGCTAATTTTTGTGTTTTTAGTAGAGACAGAGTTTCACCATATTGGTCAAGCTGGTCTCAAACTCCTGACCTCAGGGTGATCCACCCACCTCGGCCTCCCAAAGTGCTGGGATTATAGGCATAAGCCACCGTGCCTGGCTGGCTGTGAAACTTAAAAAACAGGCATCCATGTTTGTGGGTCTGTTTCTAGACTGTAATTTTTTTCTATTGGTCTTTCAATTTATTATTATTGTTATTATTATTATTTGAGACAGAGTCTTGGACTCTCACCCGGCTGCAGTGCAGTGGTGCAATCTCAGCTCACTGCAACCACTGCCTCTCAAGTTCAAGTGATTCTTCTGCCTCAGCCTCCTGAGTAGCTTGGTTTACAGGCATGTGCCACCACGCTCAGCTAATTTTTGTATTTTTAGTAGATACGGGGTTTCACCTTGTTGGTCAGGCTGGTCTCAAACTCCTGACCTCGTGATCTGCTCGCCTTGGCCTCTCAAAGTGCTGGGATTACAGGAGTCAATTTATTATTTCACCAATATCACATTATCTTAAATTACTCTATAATAAATTCTTATATCCACTAGTATGTTAGTTTTCTATTGCTTCATTATAAGTTATTACAAATTTTGCCACAAAACAACAAATTTATTACCTCAGGTTCTATGCATCAGGAGTCTGGGAATGGATTAGTTAGGTCATATGCTCAGGCATAAGGCTGCAACCAAGATACTGCCTGAGACACTAATCTTAATGGAGGCTCAGAGGCCCCCGGCTGCATGCACACGTGGCAGAATTCATTTCCCGTAAATGGGAACCCATAATGGTTTGCTTCTTCTTAGAGGCCAGTAGGAACTTTTCTCTGATACTTTACCTTCTTCTTAAGGACTCACCTGATTGGGTAAGGCCCACCAAGACAATTTTTCTTTTGATCAACTCAGACTGATTGACGTATCTTAATTATAACTACAAAGTCCATTTGCCATACAATGGAGCCACAAGTCTTTCCCACACTAAAGGGGGGAGATTATATAAAGATGCAGGTCATTGAGGGTCATCTTAGAATTCTGCCAACCACAATTAGTGTGAGTTCACACACTCTTGTTCTTCCCTAAGACTGCCTTGGCCATTCTTGGTGGTTTAAAAAAAATTACTTTTAATTTACAAAATTTTGCCTCCATTCTTTTCTTTTTTTTAAGACAGAGTCTCATTCTGTCGCCTAGGCTGGAGTGCAGTGGTGCAATCTCAGCTCACGGGAACCTCTGCCTCCCGGGTTCAAGCGATTCTCCTGCCTCAGCCTCCCGAGTAGCTGGGGTTACAGGTGCGCACCACCATACTCAGGTAATCTTTTGTATTTTCAGTAGAGACAGGGTTTCACTTTGTTAACCAGGATAATCTCTATCTCCTGACTTCATGATCTGCCTGCCTCGGCCTCCCAAAGTGCTAGGATTACAGGCGTGAGCCACCACACCTGGCCTTTTGCACCTCCATTTTATGGTAATGAGAACATTCTTGGTTCATTGAATTTTTTTTTTTTTTTGAAGATGGAGTCTCTCTCTGTTGCCAGAGGCTGGAGTGCAGTGGCATGATCTTGATTCAGTGCAACACTTGACTCCTGGGGTCAAGGGATTCTCCTGCCTCAGCCTCCTGAGTAGCTGGGACTACAGGTGTATGCCACCACCCCCAGTTAATCTTTGTATTTTTAGTAAAGGCAGGATTTCACCATGCTGGCCAGGATGGTCTCAATCTTGACTTCATGATCTGCCTGCCTTGGCCTCCCAAAGCGCTGGGATAACAGGCCTAAGCCACCGTGCCTAGTCGGTTCTTTGAATTTCTGTGTATAAGCTTGATAATCAACTTGTCAGTTTCCACAAAAATATTTGCTAAGCTTTTGATTGAGATTATCTTAGCTTTATAGGCCAATTTAGAGAGAATTGAGAATTTTGTAATATTGTGTTGTCCAATCCTTGAATATAATTTGTCCTTTTATTTTTAAAGATATTCTTTGTCTTTTAAAAGATATTCTTTTGTTTTAATTGAGAATACTTTATAATTTTCTATGTAATTGTCTTAGAAATATTTTGTTCATGTTTTTGATGGCACTGTAGATGATACTTTAAAACAATTCGTTGCTGGTATATAGAAATCCATTTGATTTTTTTTTTTTTTTTTTTTTTTTTTTGAGACAGAGTTTCGCCCTTGTTGCCCAGGCTGGAGTACAGTGGTGAAATCTCGACTCATTGCAACCTCCACCTCCCAGGTTCAAGTGATTCTCCTGCCTTAGCCTCCCAAGTAGCTGGGATTACAGGCATGTGCCACCACACCCAGCTAATTTTATATTTTTAGTAGAGATGGGTTTTCTCCATGTTGGTCAGGCTGGTCTCAAAGTCCTGACCTCAGGTGATATGCCTGCCTTGACCTTCTAAAGTGCTGGGTTTACAAGTGTGAGTCACCATGCCTGGCCAAAATCCACTTGATTTTTATACATTGATCTTGTATCCAAACATTTACTGAACTCACAATATTTTGTAGATTCCCTTGCATGTTCATGCAGAATTATGACATCTACAGATATTGATAGCTTTATTTTCTTCTAATTTTTATAACTTTTTATATTCTTTTCTTGCCTTATTCCACTCACTTTTACACTCTGATTTATTTTTTTCCCTATTTTCCAGTTCTCAGTGTATGCCATGAGCATTTAGCAGCTGTTTGTGTTGCTAACCTGAGAATGGTACTCACAGCAGTCATCTCTTAGCTGGATGAGACAGTCCACTGGATTAAAGAAGAAAATATTCAAATGCCTACCTACATATATTATAATTAAGAAAATAGTGAAATTTAATACATAGATTGGCAATATAAGTTTATAAATCATAAATAAATAAAAAGGTTACCCAGGTTAGGGCCAGGTGTGGTGGTTCATGCCTGTAATGCCAGCACTTTGGGAGGCTGAGGTGGACGGATCACCTGAGGTTGGAAGTTCGAGACCAGCCTGACCAGCATGGAGAAACCCTATCTCTACTGAAAATACAAAATTAGCCAGGTGTGGTGGCACATACCTGTAATCCCAGCTACTCAGGAGGCTGAGGCAGGAGAATCACTTGAACCCAGGAGGCGGAGGTTGCAGTGAGCCGAAATTGTGCCATTGCACTCCAGCCTGGGCAACAAGAGTGAAACTCCATTTCAAAAAACAAAGCAGAAGGTTACCCAAGATTGAAAAATGGCCAAATATTTTGGATACCCCTAATTCTATAGGAGCAAATCCAAAATTACTCGGTAACATTCCTGAATACCTCTATAGCTCTTTATCTTATCAGAGTTCCAAATAATACTCTTTTATGTGCTAATTGTTATTCTTTTAACTACATATGATAGCTGTATCCATTCTTATTCTGTTGTCTGGGTTCATGAATAACACTCTAGTTGTTTAAGAATTAAAACCTTTACCTCCTCAATGAAACCTAACCAAATAGCAGAAATAGAACATTTCTTCCCCTTTGTAAGCTTAGATATCTTTTCACATCTTTTCACTATAGTACCTGTAACATCTTATTGTAGTTATGTGATTATATGTTTGCATCTGTTCATCAGATTATATTTTCCTTGAAAATAGTAACATTGTTTTAGTTGTCTTCAAATTCCCCCAAAGTAGAATTCTTTGTGACACACAGGCACATGGTGGGACACCAATAACTTATCACAATGGTGAGGAATATCTTTTATGATTTCTCCTTCTCCAACCAAGTACAGTACAAAAGTAGACATCCCATAACACATTTTCTGATTAACTGTGAGTAGTGAACATTGTAATAGTTCTCATACAGCATTTATGTTTTTAAATTCTGATCACTTGAATTTGAATGTAATGTACTGTTTCAGGAATCCTTGTCATTTGAGGATGTAACTATGGGCTTCACCCAGGAGGAATGGCAGCATCTGGACCCTGCTCAGAGGACCCTACACAGAGATGTGATGCTAGAGAATGACAGCCCCATCATCTCAGTAGGTAGGAACTGTTTTTCATGTCAACTCCTAGTATGTACATCTTTTCTTAGTTGCTGAAACTTGTAGTAATTTTGTTGAGGTTAATGACATTGAACTTGAGATTCAGGGTATTAAGCAGAACTGTTTAGGGTTCTATAATGTTGCTGTTGTCTTACTTTTTCCACAGATGGTTGAAACTGGCTTCTGAAGTTTCATTTTCTCCCTCCTTCAGAGGCTCTGAAGTACATTAGCCTCACCCAGTTTCCATGTCATTTTCCCATTCACAGGATATTGCATCCCTAAACCAGAAGTGATCTTCAAATTGGAACAAGGAGAGCAGCCATGGATATTAGAGGAAGAGCTCCCAGGCCAGAAATACCCAGGTAAGTTAGCATGTATTAAGCAGAAAGGATACCAGTGACATGGTATCAATTCTTCTAATTCTCAAGAGTTTTCTTGGCCAGGCATGGTGGCTTATGCCTGTAATCCTAATACTTTGGGAGACTGAGGAGGGTGGATCACCTGAGGTCAGGAGTTTGAGACCAGCCTCGCCAACATGGTGAAACCCTGTCTCTACAAAATTACAAAAATTAGCCAGGCATGATGGCGGGTGCCTGTAATACCAGCTATTCGGGAGGCTGAGGCGGGAGAATTGCTTCAACTGGGGAGGCAGAGGTTGCAGTGAGCTAAGATCGTACCACTGCACTCCAGCCTGGGCGACACAGCGAGACTCTGTCTCAAAGAAAAAGAAGAGTTTGCTCATATGTTCATTCCTACTATGTGTCACTCAAGTTTCAGGTGCTGGAAATAGAGTAGTGAACTGAATTTTATCCATGATCTCATGGAGCTTACCTTCTGATTGGGAGAAAAAGATAAGGAACAAAAAATGACAACACTACCACACATGCACAAATATGCCAAGTGGGCATGTAAAATAGTAAGGAAATTAAAGAAGGTTAAGAGTGATGGAGTGTTAAACTTTAGAAAGGAGAATTGGGAAGGGCTTTTGGATGCTGTGAACTTTAATGATACGAGGGTGGGAGTTGAGGGGAGTCTTGATAGCAGGAGAAGCATCAAGTTCAGGGCACTGTGACGGAAGTGTGTGTGGTTTTGAGGACACACAAATATCAGTGTAGATTGACAGGAATGAGTGAGGCAAGAGTGGTGTGAGTTGATACTGGAGCGGTAATGGGAGCCCAAATTATATAGGGCCATATGGGCCGTGATAAGGACTATTTTTTTTTTTTTTGAGACAAAGTCTTGCTTGTTGCCAGGCTGTGGAGTGCAGTGGTGTGATCTCGGCTCACTGCAACCTCCGCCTCCTGGTTTCAAGCAATTCTCCTGCCTCAGCCTCCTGAGTAGCTGGGACTACAGGTGTGCACCACCATGCCCAGCTAATCTTTGTATTTTTAGTAGAGACGGGGTTTCACCATGTTGGCCAGGATGGTCTCAATCTCTTGACCTTGTAATCCACCCACCTCAGCCTCCCAAAGTGCTGGGATTACAGGCATGAGCCACCATGCCTGGCAGGACTATAAATTTATTCTGAGTAAAATGAGAAGCCATTGGTATGATTTGATCCAATAAGGTACATTTGCTGATTTGTCTTTTAAATGGATCTCTCTGGCTGCTAAGCAAAGAAAATACTGGAGACAGAGGGATAAAAGCAAGAACATGAGTCAGGAGAGTATTTTAATCTGCAAAAAGGCAGTAATAGCTTACACTTCAGAGTGGTGGTGATTATTAAAAGTGGTTGGCTTTTTGATATATTTTTAATGTGGGACCTGTGGCATTTGCTATTGAGTGGGATATGGAACATGAAAGAAAGAAAAGAGTCAAGAGTGACTCCAAAGATTTCACCCAGAGCAGTTGGATAAGTGGGTGCCAGTTGGGGGATATTGAGGAGAAACAGTTTTGGAGAGATTTTTAGGAGTTTAGTTTGCACACATAAAGTTTCAGGTGATTATAAAATATCCAGGGTTACATGACAAATAAGCATTTGGGTATATAAGCAGGTAGTTCAGGGCAAGTCTAGGTGGAAGGTATTTATTTGGAAATTATCAGCTTCTGGCAGTAGTTAACCATTTTTAAGTTTAGTATTTAAAGATGAGGGATTGGATAACCTCTCTTCTGGGGTAGGACTGGAGGGTGTCCCCTGGGTCATTACCTTTCTGAGGTCATGAAAGTAAGACTGAGCAAAGAAGAAGAAAAAGCAGTTTGGGAATGAGTGGAAACAAAGTATCCTGCAGCCAAGTGAAGACAGTGTTTCAAGGAGAAAGTGAGCTTTTCTGAAGCAGGTTGTGTAAAGTTAGCATTTTCTCTGTCTCTGTCTACAGTAGATCATCCAGAAGCAATAAGGAAAAAGAGCAACACAAACTTTATCTTATGACAATAGAGGATATCTGAAACCACAAATCAGTATTAGTGGAAATGCTGCCAGAATCATTGAAAAATTAAGGAGGGCCACATGTGACAGCAGATGAAAAGAAACAGCATTTCCAATGCTTGAAGGACTGGTAAAATACTTTAGAGAGACAAAGTACATATTTTGAGGTTCAAAGTCTAAATCTCTCTTGGAATGACAGTACTGTGCACAAGACAGCTGGAGCTCCTTTGAATGCAGTTTGGTTCTGTGAAGCTAATGTAGGGTTAAGTATGGAAACAGACACACAGTCATATATATATATATTTTTTTTGAAACAGAGTTTCACTCTTGTTACCCAGGCTGGAGTGCAATGGTGCGATCTCGGCTCACCGCAACCTCCGCCTCCTGGGTTCAGGCAATTCTCCTGCCTCAGCCTCCTGAGTAGCTGGGATTACAGGCACGCGCCACCATGCCCAGCTAATTTTTTGTATTTTTAGTAGAGACGGGGTTTCACCATGTTGACCAGCATGGTCTTGATCTGTTGACCTCGTGATCCACCCGCCTCGGCCTCCCAAAGTGCTGGGATTACAGGCGTGAGCCACTGCGCCCGGCCCATACTTTTAATCTGTTTATATTTAAAGTGAATTTCTTGTTTTTTTTGTTTTTTGTTTTTCTGGAGATGGAGTCTTGCTCTGTCGCCCAAGCTGGAGTGCAGTGGTGTGATCTTGGCTCACTGCTACTCCACCTCCTGGGTTCAAGTGATTATCCTGCCTCAGCCTTCTGAGTTGCTGGGATTACAGGTGCATGCCACCATGCCTAGCTAATTTTTTGTATTTTAGTAGAGACAGGGTTTTACCATGTTGGCCAGGCTGGTCTTGAACTCTTGACCTTGTGATCTGCCCGCATCGGCCTCCTGAAGCGTTGGAATTACAGGCGTGAGCCACTGTGCCCAACCATGAATTTCTTAAAACAGCATGTGGTTGGGTGGGTGTTGCTTTTATATCTTATGTGAAAACTTTTTTTTTTTTTCTTGAGATGGAGTTTCACTGTATTGCCCAGGCTGGAGAGCTGTGGCACAATCTTGGCTCATTGCAACTTCTGCCTCCCAGGTTCAAGCAATTTCCAGCTAATTTTTGTACTTTTAGTAGAGACAGTGTTTCACTATGTTGGCCAGGCTGCTGATCTTGAACTCCTGACCTCAAGTGATCTGTCGCCTAGACCTCGTGCTAGGATTACAGGCATTAGCCACCAAGCCCATCCTTACTTCATTTTAATTGTGATACTTCAACCGCTTATATTTAATATAATTTTTTAATGTTTGGATTCACATTTATTATTTTGCTAAAGTGTTTCCTCTTTCCTCATTTGGTCTTTTTCAATTTTTCCTCTTCTTTTTCTCTCTTTTGGATTGGTAATTTTTATTTTGTTTTTTCTCCACTGAATTATTAGTAATACAGGTTGAACATCCCTAAGTTGAAAATCTGATATTTGAAATGCTCGAAAACCCAGAAGTTTTTGAGTGCCAACATGACACCACAAGTGGAAAGTTCCACATCTTATGTGATGGGGCACAAAGTGTAGGGGCACAACACATAGTTTATTCAGTGTCCCTAAGGGAAAAAGGACTCTCCCAACTTCTTTTAGCTGACATGTATCTTTCTATGCATGCATAGTATCTTAGACCGTTATCACATTGCTATAAAGAACTATGTGAGACTGGGTAGTTTATAAAGAAAAGAGGTTTAATTGGCTCACAGTTCTGCTGGCTATACAGGAAGCAGTAAATTAAAGAACCACCTTAAGGGCTTATCTATTGATAGATGTTACCTCAAACCTGCATCAAGATGGCAATGCTCATGGCAGAGCTGAGTAGAATGAAATACTGGTAAAAATATTTTTCCATAAAGTATTCAGAAGTTATAACCTGTAAGTACAAAATATACCTTCTTGAGATACAAGTAATCACTAAATTATCATATTAGGTGTTCATAAATGCTAAACATCAGACAGGTCAGAACGTCACAACAAGACACGATTAAGAAGCTGAACATTAGCCGGGTGTGGTGGCTCATGCTTGTAATCCTAGCACTTTGGGAGGCTGAGGCAGGCAAATTGCTTGAGCCCAGGAGTTCAAGACCAGCCTAGGCAAGATGGGGAGACCCCATCTCTTGAAAAAAAAAAGGAAAATTAGCCTGATGTGGTGTCACGTGCCTGTAGTCCCAGCTACTTGTGAGGCTGAGTGGAAGAATTGCTTGAGCCTGGGAAGCAGAAGTTGTAGTGAGCCAAGAAGATGTCACTGCACTGTAGCCTGGGTGACAGAGCAAGACCCTGCTGCCACACACACACAAAAAGAGGCTGAACATGAATGAAAGTGTCTTTATTAGGAAGGGGAAGTAAGATGCTGGCAGGTTTTAGATTGTAGCAGCATATGACAATTATATGCAGTACAGGCAATAGTAATGTAGCTGATGGAACTGGGTATTGTAAGTTTTTTGTTATTGGGTTACGTTAGCCAAATATAGCTTACCAATGGTATCTTATGGGATAGTAAGCAAATTATAAAATGATATAGGGAAAACTGGCCATTGATTTGGGAGAATATAAAGGAATACTGTAGGGAGGAATCAGTGAACAATTCAGTTTAATTTAGACAATGTTTATTTCATGTATTTACTGCTACATTCCATCAAGAACTTTTTCGTTTTGATGTTATGACAATTAAGCAAGTAAAAAACACATTTCTTTGAAAAAATACTTCTAAGCTCAGGCTTTTAACATATAAATATAATGCACAAAATAAATATACTGCAAAAAAACCACCCACCTACAAATTGCTGTATGCATCATTTTGAAACACGTAATGTTTATAAAAGCGTAACTCTGCATTCTTGCATTTTCAGCTCTAAGTAACAGAAAACCTTACTTTGCAAAGTGCTAGATCTTAGGCTCAAAGAGCATTTGGTGTCTGCCACAACTACTCAGCCCTGCTGGGGTAGTGTGAAGACAGCCACAGGCCAAACATAAACAGATGTTTTTTGTTTGTAATTGTGTTTTCAAAACTTTATGGACACTGAAATTTGAATATCATATAATATTCATGTGTCCCAATATTCTTTGTTTTTTTTTAAACCGTTTAGAACTATAAAACCATTCTTAGCTTGCAG